TGAGCACACAACTCTATTGAAACCTATTACCGGGCTCAGAAATCAGAACGAGTTATCCTTGCAAGGTAAAATCAATCCTCTAGTCTTTCTTTAGCTCTTCCATTTGGTCTGAAAATCAAGCACATTCTTTGTTAATGTGATTCCATCAATGATTATTATATGCAAAAGTTGACTGCAATTCTTCCATATCATGCTTCTCCCTTCATCTGAATTTTTTCCTGAACTTACTGTGGGAATTTGATTATATCGCATGTGCAGGAAAAGATAAGTATTCTACTCATCACATAGCAGTCAAGATTCCATGAAATGGCTATCTTCCTCATGACTATGATGGTCAATAATTTGAAATTAACACAGAACGTTAATGCCAGGCTGACACCTGGTAGGGAAAAATGGTCATTCATACGCATTACTTAGTCACGCTCCCTAACCTATACTGTTATGATAGATGAAAAAAAGAGGCTTGGATACTGATGTATCAAGCCTATTTCTGACTTTCGTGCAAACAGTTAAGATTTGAAATTTAAGTTTATAACACTACAGTTGGGCATAGTGTAATAAACCCATTTAATTAAGCACACACCATTTATGATTATCTTCTCCAACCGGGGCCCACAAGACCAAGATAGAAAAGCAATATGAGTGCAATGTGTACAGCTATATGTATTCTTTCCCGCAATTTTGTGTAACTCGCTTCACCTTGCTTTTGCTATGGCGCCTGTCGGCTTGAGCAAGCCAGTGGCGATGAGTCAGCCTGCTCATTCTTCAACAAGCAAACATTAAGAAATCACATCTGTCAATGGATTTCATCGTCTGTTGTTTTCTGCTTCAGGGCTTTGCTTATTGGAACAAGTGAAAGTGGACTAGTGATTAACAAAGAATAATACTCTGTGGGGAAAAACTGTTAAAAGAGTTTTTCATACATAAACCACCTTTAAAGTATTGACTAACTTATCATACTAGATGAAATCGGATTTTTGAGATCCAGTTGAACATTGCAAGAAGGTTAGGAGAAAAATGTATATACTAACAATTGGCTTGGAATAATTGATCATTCCTCATATAATGTCAGCAACACAGTAATGTTTCTTCAATTTAAAGATCTAGAAGGGGAAATTTTAGTTAGAATTTAGGTTTTTTTTCATAGAACCACCTTAAAAATAGGGCAATTATATGGAAACCATCTTTCATTTTCAATTTATACATAAACCACCTTTAAAGTTGGTTTTTGTTGCAATCAACCACCTCCAAGTCAAATTCTTCACTTAAAACCCAAAATTACCTTTAAAAAACTCCCATTCATGTGCATGACTCTTTTTTTTTTTTGGTCTTGTTGGGATACAACTCACACACCTTGAACTTGAAATTTTTAAGCCTATTTTTGGTTTTTTTACTGAAAATTTGACTAGGAGGTGGTTAATTGTAACAAAAACCTACTTTTATGTATAAATTGAAAATAAAAGGTGATTTCCGTATAATTACCCTATTGTTAAGGTGGTTTCTAGGAAAAGATCCTAGAATTTATATTTCACAGTAAATCAAACTTCTAAATATCTCAAGCTAGACAACAAAGAGTCATTTAATCAAGAGATAAATGCATCATAAAGTTGGTGCTGAAACTTTAGGTATCTGATAGACAACAACAATATAAGAGCATCATTATTATATCGTTATTCAGATTTTGCTGTCTTTTCTGAGTTAAAGCACTCAATATCTGCATATTCACCTGCATACATGTGTCCTTTCCTGTCAGCTGCTCGGAAGAATGGATGCGTTTTCTTTTCTTTAGCAGCATTTTGAAGCTCTCTCCAAGCATGCCTTCTGTTTAGTTTTGTGACTTTGCCAGTTTCTACCACCTGATATCAAGATGCCACGATACTTATAAGTTAAGTGTAAAAAAGATAACGTGAATATAAAGTTTGTGCCAATATTAGTTTAGTTCAAAAATAACTTATATTGCAAGGTAAAACAAAACAAGTATATAATAAGCTCCTCATAAAATTCAGTATCCTGCCTACAACTTTTACCTCTGAGAACAAGTAATAAGAGGGACGAGGGTTCCGTGCAAGGTTATTGGCACGGTCAACTGCCACAAGTCCAAACTTGGGACCATATCCATCAGCCCACTCCCAATTGTCAGATGTTGTCCAGAACAAATAACCAAGCACACGAACTCCCTAAAAGATTTAAAGAGATTACATAATTATTTACAAGCACAGAGGAAGAGCTCTTTTCCATGAGAAGTAGAAATGAAGCCAAAGTAAAAAAACCGTTCTAATGGCTGCATAAACCGCTAACAAGTGCTCCAACATGTACGGACGCCGAATTAAGTCAGTTTCATCGCTAACTCCATTTTCTGTAATAATGAAAGGCACATTTAGGTGTTTGTATCTTTCGTTAAATTGATGCAGCACGCGGAATAAGCCATCAGGATAAACACCACGCCCAGATTCACTATATTCATCATTATCCACAAGCTTCAAACCAGGCCCAGAGATCACTTCCTGTCAGCAACAAACAAGTCAATGTGATATCTCTGGAAGTGAGAACAAGATACCTTTTTCTCTGTTTTTTTAGAGATATGACGCATGCTTACCTGTCCATAATAGTTTATGCCTATGAAATCTAGCTTATCACAGACGCTATCCACATAGGGGAAAAGCGTCAATGAACTGGCCAGTGTAACAGCAGCGACATCAAAGAGACCATAGGGACGCATAAAAGAGACATGATGTGCAATCCCGACAGTAGTTTTTCCAGTACTCTGGCTGCAATACAAACAAAATTTTGTTAATAAAACTAGGTTACGACGGCTAAAAGGTCGAGAGGAATTCATGTGTATCATAGACCAATGGCAAAGTAATAGTGAATATACTTTGTAGACTAAGTTAAAAAAAACTAAAATGTATATCCATGGTGAGAGAACTAGATAATGACCGTGTTTGAAAATTATAGGGTGCGTTAGGATATATGGTGATCTTTTTGTTGTGTTTTCACCATGGTGTTTTTCTACAATACTGTTTTCAAAACACCATGGTGAGTTCGTTTTGTCACTAGTTTGACCCCTTCCATACATATATTATAATATTATTTTATATTATTATCAAATATGTTATATAAAAATAGTGTTATTGTAATATATTAAATACATTGATAATATATATTACAATAATTAAATTATAAAAATATTACATTTATACTATGTATCTTGTATTATATCATATTGTATTATACTGTTTTATTCATATACAAAATTTTATATCATATTAAAAAATTGTTAATTATTGTATTAACTACAAATATTATATTGTAACGTAATATATTATGTTAAAATATAATGTTAAAAATATATTATATTAATTATTACAACATAGAATAAAAGTATTCTATTATAATATAATATGTTTACATAATCTAATAAATTAAATTAATGTAATATATCATTATAAGATATTATATTATAATAAA